CTCTCTCATTCTGGTGACTTCTGCCTTTTGCCTGCAACCTGGTATTCGACCTTATAATTGTGGTGGTCCGAGTACAAACCCACTACTTCGACCGCTACACTGTCAATAACTCTTTTTTGGCGATGACTGCCGTCCGCCTTGTATGTCCTCAGTACACCACCTTACGCCTCTTCTTTCTCCTTTTTTGTCTTACTGTACAACCCAACTAGTCTGAAATGAGCAAGACTGAGGGCGTGGTTCTAGCGCACCTGCTGAAGAAGGCCTCCATCAAGGCGCGTTTCGCCGCAGTCGCTCTGGCACTCACCTGCGAGGAGGACTTCTCCATTCCCCGAGGCATGGTCATAGAGGCCCTCCTCAACAAGAAGTACTTCATGCCGGAGGCGGCCATAACTCAAGTCATCTCCTACTTCACCGGGTGAGTAGGACCGTTTGTTGGTCCCCTTATCCCCTACAGTGTTGCTCTATTGACGGTCCGATAGCGCGATACATGCATATATTAATATGCGCAAATATTCGAGGTTCACATATAACATTGCTTTCATCACGGCCATAACATGGGGCTACCGGTACGACACGTTCGACGCCGGCAGACGAGTAGACAGCTTGCTCGGATAAAGAAAACGAGAATGCTCTTGAAATGTCAGCCTAAATATAACTTGGTCCCGGCAATTGCCCAGTCGTTCACTCCCGGGGATGATGAAAGCAATATACATATACATATATACAAAGTATGCTAACCGTTGAGCGGCTGCTGGCGGAGCTCAATAGTGAGCTCCAAGGCACAGTGGGGCGAGTGAGCTCCGTAGTTGATCGGTGAGCGCCTCTGTGTATATTCTCGATTGAAACCGGTGAGGCAACGAGCCCGTGACGCAGTGGTGTTAGTGCGTTGGTCTTCCTACTAACAATTTCGCAGGTTCGGGCCTCGGGGTTCGCCACCCCTGGGGTGGGGCAGGGTTGGCTGATGATGACTAATAAACCAGAAATGGTCGGTGATGTCATTCTGCATATAAAACGTATACTTACAGTCTTCGGTGCTACGGCTGTCACGGTATGAGTCGAAACTCACGAAACACGCGACACTCCACTCGTCATATATGCGTTCCATATGCCGTAAATCAAATGTGGAAGTTACTCTACTGACATCAGGGGTACTATATAAAAACCCGAATGCGTGTTCTGTGGATATGCTGTCGCTGCGTGGCACAGCCTCGAAGACGTAATTTTCTATAAAATATATTTGAATTTATATCGATGTCTAACATCAAGGAGGAAAATGCACATTATTTGAGCAACGTTTTTTTTT